GCCAGTAGCCAGATCCACTACGCAATGTGCTGCGGTAATTACCGTCGTGCTGCTTATTATTACGCCACCGCAAGCTGAGTAGCGTGGTGGATGGGTTGGTATCAGGATATGTGCTAGAAATGGCGCACGGCCTTCTGGTGCAACCGTGCCGTTCGTGATCCTTGAAACGTCTCTTGCATTAAAAACTAGTGTTGAAGCCGCTACCCGTAGGTACGCAATTGCAGTAGGTATGATAAGCATAGCAGAAGCAGATATAAATGACTAGATATTCTTTCAAGGCAGCAATTGCTGAGAAGGAGAGTGACTGTCAGGACTGATGTGCCAAGAGCAAGGATGATCGTTTATGCCTATTCGTTGTATATAGCCACCCTGCTCTATCGTTCCCGATGGCTTGGCTTGCGACTGGCACAAAGAAGCCAAACGAATAACGAGATGAGATGGTATCCATATATTCAATTTATTAATCCAATATAATCATCTGCAATAACACTTGCAGGTATAGTTGGCCAAAGGGAACATTGCTCTATAATCAACCAAAATTGCATTGGCAAATAGCGCACATCTCAATGTGTGGCAAATATGAATGAGATTGATATTTATTCCCTAGTCACTGAGTGCCTATGATTCTGATTGCTGCCACCGCTTTTATTCCAACGACATTATTTAGAGTTGGTGCTGATGTGATGCATGTTTATTTGTTCCTCTAGTTTTATTTTCGGTGTATGTTTAGTACTATGAAAACTATGCGTTTACTTGCCGCACTATTTCTTATGTTCCCTTTTCTCCATGGGACAGCCGCCGATTCGCAGTATGGCAATGCACGGGTTACTAATGGGACACTGGTGGCAAGCGGCGAAGCACCATACTTTGTTCGCTTGAAAATAATAACCTCTCCATTTGCTAAACGCCTATGCGGTGGTACACTAGTGAACAACTCGACTGTAATTACTGCAGCCCATTGCATCCGTAACTCTGATGACACTGCTGTGGCAACTACACTCACCACATCTATATACTATGGTAACAATGATAGCGCCAAGCAGTATGTGACGAGGGCAATCTCTATTCATGTTCCGCCTAGCTATGATTCTGTTGAGGTTAGGCATGATATTGCGGTCATCAAAATTCCGCCACTAGAATTTGTGAAAGGCAAAGTAGAGTTCTTGAGTATTTACAATGGCGATATTCCACCCCACAGTGAAATGAGGGTATTTGGTTGGGGATTAACCACGACTCACGGATCAAGCAGAGATATCGCCTCGTCATTGTTGACAAACTATGTGTATATCTCAGAACCAAAGGAGTGCCAATGGGTTGAGTCCAGATACACTGACGCTAATGGTCCGCTGATATGCGCAAACAACCATTACCACATCGGTGCTGATGTTTGTTCTGGCGACTCTGGGGTGGGGACTATAATCTACGTTGAAGGAGCTCCATATATGGCTGGTATCGTTAGCTACGGGTCCAGCATAAGCGGTGAATTGACCTGTGGTGAAGATGGTGGATTTGGTCTCTATACCCACATTTATCAGTACATAAATTGGATAGCGTCAATCAATGATACTGCCCTAATCGTTGGCCCAGAGCAGCCAGCGCCATATAAACCACTGGCGCTAGAAACCCTTCAAAAACCCGCTCCACGGCATTTTTGTATTTTTATGCTATGCATTTAAATAAACGGTTACATGTGTAGTTCTGCCGAGATCCAGGATACACAAATCACCGTCCGAACGCGTATCAAGGGCTTAAACATAAAGAAAAGTGACCAAATGATGTGCTAAGCAGACAGAATAAGGAGCAGACATCTGGATAAAACGCGTGTTGACTAGAATCCTGCCGCCACACTCATCATCATGTTGCTTCAAATAAAGATAGTATTCAGTGTCTCATTCATCTATTAGCATTTGAATTTCGGAATATCGCCTGGCATTAGCGTACAATGTCTGTGTAATTGCATGCTGAAGAATTCGACGTGCCTGATACCTGGACAGAGCTGAGTGAACATTACTGTAGCCCTGCAAAGCTCAATAAGGTTGAAATGCTCGACGCGTTCAAACCGCAGATTCACGAGCTTTGGACTAATCGATGGGAACCGTGCCTGAAGTTCTGCGAGAGAGCCAAGATCAGCGCATATCGGGCCCATATGCGACTGGAGAAAATCGACATGGGAGTTTTCTGTCACGATGACAAGTTTCCGAGTATCATGCAGCAAATCGTCGGATGCGCTTTCATCTTCGTCGATATCGGAATCTGTCTCGTCACACTTGCCAACACAATACGAGTGCAGACTATCTGTGTGGGAAAACTCAGCATTCCGTTCCAGCGAAATAGACAGCCGATGGAGCTGTGGTAGCGTTATTAGGACACCGACTGCCTGTGGAACCGTAAACTTGACTGATCCCAAGTTAAGGATGCGCATGTTTTGACTAAGGTCGCCTGGAGTGAACTGAAGATCGCCGAACCGAGCTGTGTGTCTGGGATTGAATCTTAATACCGATGCCTTTCGTCCAAGCGCAAGCACAATCTGAATATAACGGCTGAGAAGTCCTTCGGGGAAATAGTAATCATCAAGGAAATCAATGTAGTCCAAAGCTGGATACCTGCCGACGATATGCATGCCACTGCTTTCAAGGACCCTGACAAGGTTTTCGTCAATGCACATGGAAATCTCCCGAAGTGTCCGTTCATTTCCTCGGAAGGCGATGGCGTCCGAGTAAGGGTACTCGCCATTGCAAACAAATTTTTCCAGAATTGGAAACAGAGTAATACCCGCGCACGCACCAGTGTTAATAGTATCCGTCGATGCAAAATAGCGTGCAAAGATCTTCAAAACACGGACTCGGGGGTATACAACCACATCGCCAGACTCCTTAAGGGCCATTGACCGAAATGGTTCAATTGTCCAGGATGTCAAGGAAATATTCTCCAGTGTCTCAGAATGGCGCTGAATCAGTTCTCCAACAGAGGTGGTTCCATTGGTGTTGTAAATACTGATACTTTTGAGCGGAACAGGGCCTGTAGCTGCGATTGAAATCCCATTGCACGACATTAGTTCTGCTGATACCCCCGAAACCTTGGAGGACAATCTGTTGAAAAGAAATGCGAAAGGCTGGTGATTCGGTAGGGGCCAGCGGGGATCCATGCTAACCAATTCGAGTAACCTTGCATTGGGAAGGAATCTATCGAGTCGGTTGCAGAACACGCCAATATTGTTGTAGCTAATCTTTTGAGCAGGACTAGGGCTGTTGCTAACAATGGATAAGCTTAACGTCAGGCGTTTGACACTGGGTAGGATCATGTCGTCAGAAACAACAGCCCCGAACTGTGCAAGTGCCTTCCCATCAAAAATGTCAGCCGACTGTATATGGAAGTTCAGTGATTTTATGTGGTCACCTAAACCCAAGCCTAGTGCATTCTCAAAAACACGTGGCATGGAACGACGACAGCATGAGCACTTTAAGCAGCGGAGGCAGCCTGTCTGACACCACGTCACGTCCTGGTACAAATCAGCCAAGATTGCATAGCGCCAGCTGCGACAAATACCAGCTAGTGGAAGCACAAGCCTGAGCCCTGAGCAGTTCAGCTTCTGCATAGGATTGTATTTGTCCGCATCGTAAACTGCTGAATACCGGCTGATCAGTTCAATGACAATGTGCGGCAGATTTTGTGCTAGAGGAGCCATTAGTGATATAGTGACAGTAGAAATAATGATAAAACAGTATATTTCTAAGCAAGGTGGTAGGAAAAGGGAGAGTGGCAAGGGTCTGTATCCAACTAGTGGTACATAAGAGCCAACCTGTTGTGCTGTGATCCGAGATCAGCAGCCATTTGCTGCGGCCACAGCAATTTTTTAAACTGGCGGATGCTGATTTTGTTAGAATCTCGAGATCCAATTACTGTTGTTGCGGTAACAAGAGGGATAAGGTATGAATATCAATACTAAAGAAAAAAGGAAAGGAGAAAGGAAAGCTACTAATGCCATACACTGGCATCTATGAGGATTTCACTGCTGTGCGGCATCTGGCCTCCTCAGTGAGACCAGGGTGACAAGCTGTGATTGTAGTGGTCACAGGTCTCTACTAGATATCTCCATTGGTTTGGCATGGGAGCTGCTCTTATTGTTGGTCGATCTGAAAACTTCCATAGTGTCATCATGTAAAGTAAACTGAGGTGTAATACGTGAAGTTTTAGATATACCAAATGAGAAAATACTAAGCGGCTAAACCAATAAAGGATAGAAAGAGAAAAGTTCTTTCAGGAGAAAGCTCAACATCACATAGGTGGTGAGTCGCCAAGTCAGGATTTTCCTAACACAGTGACTCGTCGATTTAGGGCTAACCGTGTAGTCTATTGACTAGTGTCAAACATCCTCCGTAGTCGATGATGCTTGTGTGTTTCTTCCAATTATGAATGTGACATGCTTCTCATGGGTGACCTTTGGTAGAGACTTTGTATGCACATCCGCTGGCATCTCAGAGCCAGCCAAGTGCGAGATTTGGAAAAGCCCATCGTCATACGCTTCAGTAAGCAAGTGCCAGATGACCCTAACATGTTTGGTACGCTGATAGTTTGATGGATATTTCACTAGAGCAACTGCTGTTGTAGGCCTAGGGTGCATGGTGGGTGATGTAAGGCAAAAAAAAGAGAACAGAAAACAAGTAGCAAAAAATACCTGATATATGATATGTTATATGTAAGCTGAATATTAAACGATGGTATCGTAATCCAGAAATGTGCAAGCAGTGTGAGCGTATCAACAGAAAGTGACAGAATCAAGGAACATATATTGATGAGGGAAGCTGAAGAGAAAAGAAAAGAAAAAGAAAAGGAGAGGCGAGCGCAAAGGTAGTATACTATTGCTCAGGTGGCACAGCAAAAAGCAAAAAAGAAACAACAGGATGGAAAAACCATGTGGTTCAGAGTAATCGGATAGAGATTCGAACAGTATAATCACTTCAAAAGTAGAAGAGCTGCTGGCAGGGTAGGAATTTTTGCTCCATTTCGCAACCCCGTACATTTATGAAACCTGTTCTCCATGGATCTGAAGTTTAACCTATCATTAAAGTGGATGCAGCGTAGCTGCATGCTGCAAGCACATTCTATTCAGCATCTACCTCCATCCAAAATATATTGTATTTTGTGGATCCTCTGCTTACAAAAAACTAATCTACCATGATATAGTCACTCACTTCTTGTCACACATCATTGGAAAACAGGGAAGGTACGTATCTATTAGTAAATCAGCTCACTAAACTCGCTCCAGAATTCGTTCTTCATCACACTGTCCATAACCGAAGACGCATCAAAGTAATTGATAAGAATGTCCTTGCTTGGGGGAGGCGGTGGAAGAATCATAAACGACCCCATGTTGAGCTCAGGATGTACTGTTGAAAATGCTTGAACACCACTGCCAAAATCCGCAATGTACATCTTGAGAGAAGCAATATTAGAAGCATCAGTAAAAACCTTGTAGTTCATGGCAATGGCAAGGAAATTACCAGTACTCGTCTCCCCAGAATCAAGAGTGTCAACAGTTTGTCCAATACGCGGACTAGTTACGGGCCGATATCCGTGACCGAATCTGACTAGCAAACTATGGCAATAGTCTTCGGGAGTAATCGGCTGATGTGCCTGGTGCATTGGAGTGAGAAAATATTCGGCCAATACTGGGTTGCCCATGTAGTTCAACTCTGCCATTCCAAGATGGATGGCGATAGTTGACGACAACTACAGTACAATGTTCGCCTGCAGCTCCATTCTTTCGATCAGTGAGTTTTTGTCAGCCATCCTCGATGCTTCCTTATCACAGCCTTGTTCGTGGACCCTGTGTGCAACAGGCAGAAATGATGTCATTAGTGGACAAGCGTGTCCCATGTGGCAAGATGCTCGAGTACTTGACTGCGAAGCCCGTCAATCTTGGCACGTGAAATCCGGAATAGATGGCCACGCGGTGAAGCAGAGTTGATCAAAAAGCTCATCAGCCTTCTGCGCTTGTTAGGCGACAGCCACATTATGAAATCTGCCACACGGGATTTTACAGAAAGCACTTTGCTGGACACTTCGCTGAGGGGTGCACGCTCGCTCGGCAGGTGTTGCTTGATGACATCGGCACCAAAGCAATAGGTCACTTCTGCCACGGGTACGCCTGATTACTAGTGCACGCGTCTCATCCGCCCAGCGGTTGACGAATGTCAAAACGGTGTTAGCATCTGCAACACCATGGTTGAAATTGACTGAAATTGCCATCCCGCTGTTGTCCTTTAGCCGCACAACGTGAACATGCAGCAATTTGATCCTTCCAGTAGCCTTGTCGGGACATGGAACCAGTCCAACAGGAACTACGTCATCGGGCCAGGTCGCAGGACTGAACCCAGATGACTGAATCTTGCTGAAATGCACCAATGATCAGTGACTCACGGTAATCAGGCATGTTCAGATTGCCCTTGTCAACGATGACCTCCATTCCGCCTGCCAGATGTCTGTTTGAATATCACCAGCGAAACCAAGGACAGAGGGTAAGAGTCCGATAGAACCCTTCCTTGAGCGTGTTGCCTGGCATAAAATCCCCGGCCCCAGTGGCGTTGGCATAAAAGAAAAGAAACCGTAAGGCTATTTCTGAGACCAGCATATCTAACCGACTGCAGATATACCTCTTTGATTCGATCGCTGTTTACAAAGTTGTCCATAGTAAAGTGGCTAGGTAACATGAATTGGCAAGGAAGAGTTGAAGAAGACATTTACTAGTGTCTTGCCCATAGTATTTATACTGGAAATATCACCAGTGTGTGAGCAAGTATACTGGTGAGAATCAGCCATGGGATAGAGTCAAAATTATAACAATTAGCCAATAAATTACCTGAAATAGTGCGTTGTTCAGCGTGGTCACTATACCCTTCAACCATTTGTATATATGAGAGTTGTTTATATGCCGAAGTACATGCATACATTCATTTCTGTCATGGCTCAGCTCGGCTCGTCATCACTGCTATATGCCTGCTCTGCCCACTGATAGGAAATCGGCATCCACGGTGGAAGTTGGCCGTAAATCATAGGATCCACCACCGGTGATTTGAATTCATGACTGACTACTTTCTTAATCCAGAAATGTGTAAGTGTTGTGAGCATATCAGGAATAGAAAGTGACTGAGCCAAGGAATATACATTGATGAATAAAGCTAAAGAGAAGTAGGAAGGGAGAGGCGAACGAAAAGGTTTTATACCATTGCTCAGGTGGCACAGCCAAAAAGAGGAAGAAAAAAAAGAAAAAAGAACAATAGGATCAAAAACTATGTAGTTCACAGTAATCGGATCATGAGATTCTAACACAGCTCGCATCCCTTGCATCAACTGCTACACACGATCACGATAGACAGTGCAATGACAAAACCTGGTCCTGGTCTTTGCAGCAGCGACTGCTTCCAGTTTGGAATCTTAGCTCCTTTTGATTGTTCTGTCAGGTATAGCAGCCGGATCAGTTATAGCTATTGTCATACTATTGTCCGGACAGGTCAACTATGGCTAGCTGATTCAAAGCCAGTTCGCCGCCCACCAGGCAACACCCGTCTGGTCGACAACCGATGCCACGATCGGTGTGGCCAGTACCCTGCTGTCGATTCTTTTGGCCGGACTCTCACTTGGATGGCAGTGTTCTGCCAAAACAACGTCTGAGAGGCTATTGGTATTCTATTTGCCCTCGACTTGCTTGAGGTCTACTTCTCATTCTTCACACCCAAGAACAGGGATGCTCCTGTTCTGGTTTGGTGCCTCGCAGCGTTCGCGCTACTTGCTCTTGATTACAGTCACTAGCGCTGTCTTGTTTTTCCTCCATGGAGCCGCGCAGCACCGTGCAATTTTCCTCTGCCCACACCAACCCTGCACCGATGAGACCGAGGAATATGTGGATGCTGAGTCGGACAGAGACTTTGTCGAAACACCATTGGCACAAACACGTGGAAAGAATGGCTCTCCTTCCCTTGGTTGATACACCCGAGTACAGTGGTTCGTGGCTTCGATACATTCACATTCTCGTGGGTCAGCGACATATTCTACAAGGGCTCTCGTCGTCAGCTCGACTATGCGGATCTTTACAAACTGGATACGAGTGACATGGCACTTCCAAACTGGAGCTGCTATGCAAAGCACCGCAAACCAGGTCGGCCTCTGCTATTGTCGCTAATGTTAACATCTGCCCCTCAGCTCCTCACTCAGCTATTGCTTTCTGTAGCTGTTGCAGTATTAAACTACTCTGGTCTGTTCTTCTTGCAGCGCATTCTGCAGTTGATCGAGATTATTGGCAATACTACCGTAGGTGGTACTCCAGCAAAATCTATCTGTAGTGTATATCTGGATGCATTCGGGCTGTTCGTCTTCACACTCCTAAATATGCAGCTTATTGACCAAGCGATGTGGGTTAGCCATCATATAGATTTCCACATGAAGGGTCTCTTTGTTAGCGAGCTGTCTACCAAGACCTTGAACCGTCATGCAAAGGGATCACTTGAGGGCGTCACGGGCGATGACAATGAGGATAGCAGCGACGAATGGGTTAGAGTCGGCGCAGGAAGCGACAAATGGCAAAATAATGAATCTGCTCACCACAGATCTCAACCGTGTCACCAAGATCGTCGCCTACCTGGATGACCTGTACATGCTGCCTCTGTCAGCAGTCATTGGTGTCATTTACATGTTCAAGCTGCTGGGATAGTCATCGCTCATCGGATTCTCGGTCATGATTCCTGTACTACCCACTGACAAGGAAACTATTCTACTATTTGTCCGATCTTGAGGAGAAAACTTCGGAGCTGAGCTACGAGCATGTGGAAGCGATTACAGAGCTTCTGCAAGGAATCAAGGCTGCCAAACTCTATGGCTGAGAGTCCCAGTTCCTCAAAAAGATCGAAGCGCACCACAAAAAGCAGCTGGGTTCAATGTGGAGATGGCTACTCGGCTGGGCCTATGCATCCATCATCACGTCTCTGTCGCTGATGATCGTCATGGTACTGACACTTGCATCATACACTAGTATATTCGGACATCAAATCAATGCCGAGATTGTATTTACAACGATCTCGGTATTCCAGCTTCTGCGAATTTCACTAGAGCATTTCCTCGACTTTTTGAGCTGGGTCATTTCGGGCTATGTGTCGCTGAAACGTATCGATTCATACCTTGCGATGCCTCAGGCCCAGGACCTCGAAGAGCAGATCTGTCAAGTAGATGGCAGTGGTGATGTGCTAGGATTTGTCAAGCCCAGTCTAGTTTGGGACACATGGGAAGAATCAACTTGACTAACTCAGCCGATGCTACTAGGTATATGGCGAAGGTCAATGAGAACACACCACTGATATCGGATGCTTTGACCTGTTCAGATGCTTCATTGGACAGCCAGTAGGAACAGCCAGATAAGATTGCATTCAGGCTCAAGGACATCGATATTCACTTCCCTACTAATGGGTTATCGGTCATTGCTGGTCTGACAGGCAGTGGCAAGTCATCATTGCTGTCAGCGCTCATTGGTGAGATGACATTGATCAGTGGGTCTATTCAGCTGCCAACTGTCAATGCTGACCAGAGCATCGCTTCGAACCAGGGCTATCAAGACGTTATTGTGCTGTCATATGAACAGACAGGAATTCGCAATGTTGGCTATGTTGCATAGGAGGCATGGCTGCGCAATGCCACTATCCGCGAGAACATCCTATTTGGCGAAGCCGTATGATCAGCAGCGCTATGAGGGGGTGCTGCATATCTGTACACTAAAGCCTGATCTGCGGATCCTGACTGCTGGCAACCAGACCGAGATTGGCAAGCATGGTGTGATGCTGTCAGGTGGCCAGAAGCAGCATGTTGCATTGGCGTATGCTGTGTACTTGGACTGCAAGATCCTACTTATTGATGACTGTCTGTCAACTGTCGATGCGCACACTACCAAGCACATCCTGATGGAATGCCTGCTGAACAAGTCATCGCTGATGCAGGACTGCACTTGTGTCCTCATCACTTGTCATATATCGATGTGTCTTCCTATATGCGTAGTACATCGTGGTGATGCGCAAGGGCAAGGTTGCGCTCAAGGGCAATCCACAGGAACTACAAGCCTTGGGCTGATTCGCTGCCACACTTGCTGAGCTCAACACTAAGGAAGACACCAAGTTCTGACGATGGATTAAAGGGCAAGGAAGTTGATGGCATCGAAGATGATGGCAATGCCGAGCAGGCCAAGGCTATCAATGATCCAATATTGGAAGATGAGTACAACAGCAAGAGACTGCACCAAACTGGCCGCTGACGGGGATTTGGGTACAGGTATCAATCCGGTAAACCTTGAAGGAACTTTGGTTGCGGACGAGGAGTGTGAGACTGGGCAGGTCAAAATGGATATTTGGTATATATTCCTCTCAGTATGCAGCGGTTACTGGTACTAGTTTTCTGCACTTTTAATAAACTCCCTGACCAAACTAGTTGCAATTGTTTAAGACTACTGGATCTACATCTGGTAGCAGCATATAATGCAGCAATTCCACATATAGTTCTATATGATTCAGTTGATATTGTATCACCAACAGCAAATACTAACATAGTTGGCCAGCATACAGTATTATTTTGGATTAGTATTTACCTGGCAATTGGTATTATTAAAGATAATATACTTTTTATCAAGCTTACTTATATATATTCTTGACTGATCAAAGCTCCTAGAAATGTGCATATACAGCTAATCAGGTTAGTTGTCTATGCCATACTGTATTTCTTTAATTCAATAGCATTTGGCCAGATCATTAGCTAGTTCTCCTATGATATAGAATCAATTGGCATAAATACCCTAGATTCACTCATTTGGGTATTTACAGAGGAGGTCAATCAGAGATACTTATCTGTATAATACTTATTTATATGTATTGAAACTATTGGTAATTATAGTAAAATAATAATTTCACCCAAACTACTATTAGTTTCTTAGAAAAGTTTCAGTAAATATAATTTTTCACTAGGGGGGTTATACAGAGATACTTATCTGCCCATTAACTATTTATGCATGCTGGAACTATTAGCAATTTCAGTGAAATAAAAATTTCACCCAAACCGCCATCGGCATCTTGGAAAAGTTTCAGTGAACATAATTTCCTTGTGGTTGCTTAGCCACATCTATTGAGATATTGACTTTTATTGCCCAATGAAAATTAACCCCAAATATGCAAAGTTTTTCTTTCTGGTTGAAATTATGTTCACTGAAACTTTTCCAAGATGCCGATGGTGGTTTGGGTGAAATGGCAAAAAAAATATTTGTATTTTTAAAATCAATTATACACACAAAAGCATTCTGGACACAATAACAAATAATAACTATAGAAAAAATAATTAGTAGCAAAAAATAGTTCTGAAAATGATTATTCAAATATCTATCTAACAAAATTGCAAATAACTAAAATTTACAAGTCCAGGAATGACCCCCTTCCAGAGTGAACTAAGAGCATTACTATCAAGAGTGTTATCAGAAAGAAGAAATATGCCTGATGTTGCTGATGCTAGGTATACTGCTAGAGGTATAGAGCAACTTGGATTTGAGCATTCTTCTGAAATATTTGTTGACTCATTTATTGTTGAGGTTGTTGTTGAGAAATGCAGTGAATCAGATATAAAGGTGAAGCAGAAGTCAGCTAGTGTTAGATTGCATAAAGTATTTGGAGAAGGTTTTGGTTATAAGTATGTTAGAAGCAAGATTAGTGGAGGCCATTCATAAATATAAAAGTTTAAAGAAACTAAATATCTGTTAACAGAATAACCAATTAACAAATAAGAAATCAATTACTAGCAGTAGATAAATATTTTATTAGTCATCACAGCAGTGACTGCTGGTTGGGAACCTTTCTGTATTAAAGACCGAAATTAAGATAGAAATTTAAAATGAAATTTTAGATGAAATCATAAATGAAACGTGGAGGGTGAGCTTCTGAGTATCATCCGACACGTATAAAAAAGGGAGCTAGTACCTCTATGGATGAGCTCCTTACCTTTCAATTTTTCGGCAAAAATCGCCAAATTTTCATTAAAGGCCACCCTATTATCTCTAATTAACTTTCACAATGTCTGACATCCAAATCCGCATTCAACAACTTGAACACGCCCTAGCCGCTATGGGCGTAACTCCTGGCGCTACACTATCACCGCTTAGCTCTGATTTCTCCTTTGACGAAGACACGCTATCTTCAGTCCCTGCAGCTACCCTCCCTGTCTACGCATCGTTACTAGAAGACCAAGATCGCCGTCACCTGCTAGCTGCCACAGCAAGAAACCGAGACCGCTCCTTCGAAACTCCAGAATTTCGCATCCACTGGCCAGCTATACGTGACCAGGCCACAGATAAAGCCCTTACAGAAATCCAGTTTCGTATCTCAGGGATCTTTCGTATCCTGGATGATGCCCTACTACGTGCCTCACATCGACCAGATGGTTTTCCCCTCAGTGACTTCGCACGCCTTGCCAACAACCTCTATTTGTTGGCGGCAGATGCAGCATCATTTGTCACAGCCCAGCGCATTAGGCGCATATATGTGGCTCATGGTTTGCCCCCACCACGCAACATTGACCCAGCTAAGGGCATGGCAGATGTCATCGAGGATATTCTCCACCAGAAAGAAGTGGCTCGAAAACTGGCACGCCCTATGGCAACCCGCAGACACAAAACCCGCTTCCAGAACCAGGGAAACGTGGGTACCCCACCCCCTCCTATACACAGCCGACAACCAGCAGAACCTCAGCGCAACTGGAGCAATCACAGTACCAGCAATACCAACGGCCAACAGCGCAACCAAAGAGCCCCACGCCATCCAACCCAACACTAAATATTGGTGGACGCCTCCGACATTTTACCAGCTCCTGGCAAAGAATATCGCCGCCAGCTTTTATTCGATCTATTCTATATTCTGGTTTCCATATCCCCCTCTCCAAGCCTATCCAACCCAACTGCCCCCCACCGCGTATATATTCAGACAGCGACAGAGCACTGATCACCACCGAAGTCGCCTCTCTATTAGACAAGACTGCCATTTGCAAAGTCGACCCATCAACACCTGGTTTCTACTCCCCTCTCTTCACCGTCGCCAAAAAGAATGGCAAGCGCCGCCCAGTCCTCGATTTGAGACTCCTCAACAATCATATTACTCCCCGTCACTTCAAGATGGAGGGCATCAAGACGATATTTGGCATGATGCAACGGAAGGATTGGATGACAAGTATCGACCTCTCCGATGCCTTTCTGCATGTGCCCGTGGCTGCAGACTCCCGCCATTTACTACGCTTTGCCTGGGAAGGCACTCACTACGAGTTTCAATGCCTTCCTTTTGGTCTATCTCTTTCACCGCTTATTTTCACCAAGGTCATGGCCGCCGCACTACGCCATCTGCGCAGCAAGGGAATTCGAGTAACAGCATATATGGACGACCTCCTGATCATGGCCAAAACCAAACAGCAGGCCCAGCAACACACCGACAGAGTTCTCCGCACATTGCAAGACTTGGGATTCCTTATCAACCCAGACAAATCCACAATGCACCCACGACAAGTAATCGAGCACCTGGGCTTTATGATCCGCTCACGGACAATGTCTATACATCTACCCTCAGCCAAACGCCGCGACCTGCGCCGCAGTGCACAGAAGCTCATCAATATAGGACATGCCACACCTCGCCAGCTAGCGTCATTTATCGGCAAAGCCTGCGCAACTATGCCCGCTATTCTACCCTCACGACTCTTCACTCGGGCACTCCTTCGCACCAAGAATGCAGCCCTAGGCCACCACTCCTGGGATACAACTATTCCCCTACCACCAGATGCCCTCCACGAACTGCAATGGTGGCAGCAACGCCTACTCCTCTGGAACGGCCAGTGTTTTCTGCCTCCACGCCCATCTATGGAGATTTTCACAGACGCCTCTTCAGATGGCTGGGGCATCGTTACACCAGAACGCACTATCCAAGGAAAATGGCAACAGCACGACAGGTTGCGACACATCAACTACAAGGAATTGCAGGTCCTCAGCTATGCAGCAACACTACAGGAATGCCAAGGGAAGCATATCCTAGTACACTGCGACAACAGTACAGCCCGTGCCTATATGAACAACCAAGGTGGCACATTCTCCCCTCAGCTTTCACACCTAGCAGAGTCAATCTGGCACCGATGCCTCCAGTCAGCAACATCACTACAGGTTGTGCATATCCCATCAGCAATGAACCCAGCCGATGCACCATCCCGCGCACAGAGCAGCAAGACTACGTGGTACCTACACCCACACACATTCCACAGGATCTGCCAGCAATGGGCGCCAGCAGTGCAAATTCCGTATGCACCACAGCTCGACCTCCCACAGCTACAAATCACCCAACCGCTATATCACCAGTGGCCACACGGCCAGCATCTCCTCTGCATCCCACCATGGCATATGATCCTAGCCATCCTACAGAAGATTCAACGCGAACACCTACACAACGTTGTTCTTCTTGTCCCCTATTGGCCATCCGCTCCATGGTTCCCGATACTTCTACAGCTCCAACAGGGCCAACTACTGCACATTCCCCCCGACCACATTTGCCCAACCAGCACAACACAACAACATCCACTAGGCCGCAACCCCCAGTGGTCCCTCATCGCCTGCTGCGTCAGCGCCAGCAACTAGCAGAAGCTGGACTAAGCAGTGATGCTATCTCAATTGCACTCCACCCAGCAGCACAAACAGCCCGAACCCGAGCCTATTCTTCTATCCAGGACCGGTTCAGTACCTGGTGTGAGGAACGATCCATTCAGGCTACAAAAGCAGCAGCAGCCGACATCGTTAATTTCCTTGCAGAAGGACGGGTCCACCTACACTGGGAGCCGAGCACTATCCTTAACTACAGATCCGCACTTCTTGATATGCAAGATGACCCCTCACGACTCACCCACTCTGGGGCATTCTCAGCATTCTTCACTGCTATTGATCGCTCTGCACTACTCTCATTCGACAAATCTGCACCAGATATCTCCCCTATCCTTACTAGTTTCCGCTCACTTGGCCCATCTGCAACTCTCTCTATACCAGACCTTACACGCAAATTGTGCTGGCTCCTCGCTGTCACTGGCTTTATGCGCCCATCAGACATTGCCAGAATTGATGCTTCCCGATTAGCCATACACGCAGATCACGCTTACCTAATAATTGTTGCTCCTAAGGAACTACGCAGAGGTCGCCGAATCGAACGGCCAGTCCACATCCATAGGCATCCAGACCCTCTCATTTGCCCTGTGGACTGCTTAACGGCTTACAAAGCCAATATACTCGATATATATCCAGCAGCCCCAGCAACTCACCCGACGGCCCCTCATCTCAAATTCACACCACTTATCCGTGATCAACGACGCCCCTTCCATGGTATTGGCACTCAACGCATCTCCAAACATATACAGGCCATTATGTCCCTTATCACTTCCTCTCGCCGAATCTCAGGGAGGTCCCTTGGCTCAGACGCTGCCTCTAAACATGGAGCCTCTCTTGACGAAGTACTGACACAAGGTTTTTGGTCTGCGGCAGGGGTCTTTGATACCCACTACCGCATTAACCGCCGCTCACAGACCAACCTGACGACACTTGCTCTGCGAGCACCTTCTCCACATACCAGCAGTCACTGCTGTGATGACTAATGTCATCCTGAACGAACGTCTCGTGACGTTCTGGAAACATTAGTCGAACAGCAGTGACTGCTGCCCTCCCTCCTCTCCCTCTCTTCCGAAAAATTTTCCGGTAAGGAGCTCATCCATAGAGGTACTAGCTCCCTTTTTTATACGTGTCGGATGATACTCAGAAGCTCACCCTCCACGTTTCATTTATGATTTCATCTAAAATTTCATTTTAAATTTCTATCTTAATTTCGGTCTTTAATACAGAAAGGTTCCCAACCAGCAGTCACTGCTGTTCGACTAATGTTTCCAGAACGTCACGAGACGTTCGTTCAGGATGACAAAATACAGAATGTTTACCACTGGCCAAAAAGATTCTAGCAACTAGATTAACAAATAAACAAAGATGCCAAATATGGTGCTTCTACGAAACCCCCTTCGGCATCCTGAAAAATTTCAGTTGATTTCTCGGGACGCAGCCTGTATCTCAGTAGAAGCATATTAATTGTGTATCAACTGAAATTTTTCAGGATGCCGAAGGGGGTTTCGTAGAAGCACCATATTTGGCATCAGAACAAGAAAACAATAAAAATATTAATAATTATTAAATAGCTAACCATTTCTGACTGATCTCCTTATAGAATTAGATTTATTCAAAAGCTGCTATTTTAAAACATCATGTTCAAGTCATCAAGTCGTTATCATCCTATTTATAACTATTTATCTAATACCAAGCAATCATATAACTCATCAATTTTAGAAAGTATTAAACTATACCATTTTAAAAAATCATAATAAATTCATCAAGTTGTTAGAATCCCATCTGTAATTAATAGATATGCACCAAGCAATCATATGTGTCATCAATTTTAGAAAGAATCAAGCTGTGCTATTTTAAAACATCAAATTCAAGTCATCAAGTCATTAGTACTCCATCTGTAATTAATCAATATGCACCAAGCAATCATATGTATCATCAATTTTAGATTGAAGGAATCGATTTTGAATTTCAACAATAGATGCTTCTAACTCTGCTTTTTGGGGCAAAGTATGTATTGGTTCCACTTGTGTTGACTTATCATGTGTATCAGGGTAATCAAAGTTGCTCATAACCCAGAGTGAGTGATGATGATCAATATGTACATCACTGTTTGCTAGTATCTTCTTCATATTATAGAGTAAGCAGCATAACTTCATTTGCACATTGTAAACATTCCTATTCTTTACTCTAACAATCTCCCTGTTTGACAGCCTTTTGAATGTATTGCCTAGTTCTCCAAATGTATTTTCTACCATTGAACGGAATGATCCAAGATGGGAATTATATTCAGCTTCTGTTTCTGATAAGCTTGTTCCTCTCTGCTTTCTTACTGGTAAACAAAAGTTGTGCAGTCCAAAAGTATCCTGCTCTTCTTCCTCAGTCATCTCTTCCAAAATACTTTGTGGATAACCACCATCAAGCACAATACAATCAATAGGTGATATATTCTTCAGCAACCCCATGTTCTTAATCATTCTTGAGTCTGGGTGATCTCTACAGTCTTCAGTTGGTGAAACAAGTAGAACCATTCCATTCACATCAATGCATAGTTGTGTGCGATATCCTGATTTTTTCAATTTGAATGAATAGAGATCTGGTTTGTATGCTCCATTGTGTAGTGCTCTTGAGTCATGGCCATCTAACATTAGTGTAACATGTTTAAACCCTTGAGGATTCTGTATCTTTGCTGCAAAGACTCGTAGTTCTGGAGTTGAAAACATTGTTTGCAGATAGTATGTTAGCTTCTTATTCAAATCTTTCATTTCAGAAATATAGAACATATTATGAATAGCTTGATAGCTACTCCTAGGAATAAATCTTTCCATTTCATTGATAGATAATCCTTCTACAAGTTGGTATATGATGAGCAGTCCTTTCTCTACACTTCTGTAAGGACATGGATAATGAGTGCAACCAAATAAAACATTCAGAAAGAAGAAAATAGGAATCATCCCTAGATGTTTAAGAAGTGTGTCCTTGATAAGTTTAATTTCTCTTACTTCACGAACTTCACTTCTGTGATATTTTGTATGTTTTAGAATTACCCAGTCATCATTCAGAAACTTCCATTTGTTTGTGTACAGTTTGTGATACTCCTTTTCTCTGAGTTCTTGTAATTGATGATTCATCATTGTGAGGCACTCATAAATTTAAAAGTTGTCATTTATTGCAATGGGCCCATTCTACAAATTCTTCAACACTCGACTTGCTGAGCTAGATGAGGAAGAGAGAGAAAAGCTAGTCCAACTACTTAGCAAAAATTTCAATATGAGCAGAAAATTAACAGTATATATCAGAGCATGGATTAAGAATGTTTCAGAAGATAGGGGTGTTAGTATTAAGCATGTGTTTGATGTATGCAACTATAGTTGTGCAGATATGGAGGTAATGGTTGCTAACTGCCCATTTTAAAACTAGATCCTCTCAGTATGGATAATACGATTATGAATTCTAGTTACTTTAAGTACCACTTCTTGACTTGGTTCACCAATAATAGAAGCAATATATTCTCCAAATGGACTACTTGCTTGTATTTTGATATGAGTGTGAGTACTGCTAACTACTTCATTGTGAATCATATAGATATCTAGATAATAGAATAGCAACCCTCTAAAAGTATATAAGAAATAATGACTAACTAGGAACTCATCTCCAATATGAAGTATGTTGTAAGCAACTTTATATCTAGCTGGCCTGAGATCAGTATTTTCTCTTATATATGTGGGTTCTAGATCATCAAGTTCAATGTTGCTAATATCAGCAATAAGATTATCTATTCCTAGGTCATCGGTATCCTCACTAACACTTGAGAGAGTTGAGAGACAAACTTTCTCTCTTGCTTGCTGAGCTGTTAACCAATCAATATGCATTCCACGATAGTTAACAAGTCCCATTTCAGCAAATGTGTGTTGTTGCCTTTCTCTTGAAACAACAGGCCAGAAAGAATTTTTCTGACTAGGAACAATAGTGATGTTTGTGATATCTCTTCTCAGAACAACTTCAGATTCAAGAGGACCACTACTGGTAGCATATGTAAGAAGAAGAGTTGGGTGCCCATTAAAAGAGAGGTTAGAAACAACAGTCATCATATCTTCATTCTCTTTCAACTTTTTAGCTATTCCTTGTTTCTTCTTAGTTGTCCTATTGAACCAATGGCAATAAGCAAGAGCATGTTCTTTATGAAAGTAAATACACAATGTATGTTTGTTATGAATCTGATCAACTAGTGCCATCCATTGCTTTTCATAAGATGTTGCAAATGTCCTACAATCACTAAGAAACTCTAGTGTACTAGCAATTAAGTTTGTGTTCCATTCTACTTCTTTCAACTCAGGAGAGTGAACAGTAAGCTCAAGCCTCATTAATCCTTCATTCCTACAAGCAACAAGTGTTTCACCAAATTGCTGAGAAGTTGGCATCACTAGCTCTGATAGCTTAGAAGTAAGTTGATTGCGAACCTCACCACTTTCTAGAAGTTGAACAAATTTATTATACAACTTGTTCCTAATTCTTATTTCATCTTCATCAGTAAACCAGCTAATACAGTTTGCTCCAACTTTATCTTCATCATCAAGAATATCATTGCTACTGATTCCATTATCAAAAAGAAATTCCTTTATTACAGCCCTAGAAGATATGTTTAGACAATCCATTGTAATATCATAGTTCAGAAGAAATACATGTTCCTGATGCATCCTAAGAAAGATATCAGTTAGTGCAGGATCAGCTATTGCAACATTTGGAGCAGATACTTTGTAAACAGAGACTTTACCATTTCTCACACTTACCATGCACTTCATATACTTAAATCTGTATCCATCACCAAAAACTCTATGCAATCTATCAAAAGGAGTAATATTGTTAATCTGATCTATAAGAGCATATGATTCAGGTATCTCAACAACACATGAATCCATAAAGATATCAGAATGCTGAATAAATCCTTGCTGTTCAATGCCATTACTAGTATATCTTGCATCAGATATATCAGGCATATTATCTCTATTCTTCAACTCAAGTCCCAAAAGGGAGTTAAGATGTACTCTTAAGGAGGCCATTCATAAATATAAAAGTTTAAAGAAACTAAATATCTGTTAACAGAATAACCAATTAACAAATAAGAAATCAATTACTAGCAGTAGATAAATATTTTAAAATACAGAATGTTTACCACTGGCCAAAAAGATTCTAGCAACTAGATTAACAAATAAACAAAGATGCCAAATATGGTGCTTCTACGAAACCCCCTTCGGCATCCTGAAAAATTTCAGTTGATTTCTCGGGACGCAGCCTGTATCTCAGTAGAAGCATATTAATTGTGTATCAACTGAAATTTTTCAGGATGCCGAAGGGGGTTTCGTAGAAGCACCATATTTGGCATCAGAACAAGAAAACAATAAAAATATTAATAATTATTAAATAGCTAACCATTTCTGACTGATCTCCAGTGAAAAATATGGTCCAGTTGCTATTTACAAAGTATCTACCCCAAATATTGCAATAGCTAGTTCTTTGTTAACAGTGAAGTTTGCTACTATGGCTGATCACAAAATATATCTACAGAATTATGACATCACAATGGATTGTATGAATATCTCATCTAGAAATATTATCTATAAATACCTTTTAGAAAGAGGAGTTGAAAAGAAAGATGTTGTAGATGATTTACGCAAGTCTGGCTCTAACTGTATTAGCTGGTTTACAAAGAAAGGAGATGTTAAAGTTAAGAACAAAATTTACAACAAGTTTATTCAGCTTCTTGAGAGTGGTGAAGTTCGTAATCCTCTTAGTTCAAAACTTTCTGAATTTATAATGCCGACTTTGCACAACTTTGGAGAAACATTGTATGCTTGTAGAAACTCTGGTTTGACTAGGATAGAACTAACTGTACATTCTTCTCAGATGCAAACATTTGAATGGAATAGCAGCTTGCTTCTTAACACAGTTCAGTTTATGAATGAATGCAGAACATTTGCAACTTCTTATGAAAAGCAGTGGATGGCACTTGTTGATAAAGTTAGTAGTTGTTATACTGTTTGTATTTATGTGAGACAACAGCATACTCTAGCATATTGTCATTGGTTTAACTCTATCACATCAAAGAAGCAAGGAATTATTAAGAAGCTAACTAAGAATGAAGATCCAATGGTAGTTGTTGCTAATCTCTCATTCAACAATAGACCTACACTTTATCAAATATATAATTCACTTGAGAGTGGTCTTGAAACAGAAAAAGTTCTTAGAAGAGTTGATGAGAATATAACTATTGTTCCAAGTCAGAGAAACTCCTTCTGGTCAACTTATCCTACAACTAAGCAGTATCACACTTTTGAAGAGATGGGATTAGTTAACTATAAAGGAATGCATATTGGTTGGATAGATAGTAAGCAAGCAAAGAGTAAGATATGTTTATCAGAAATGTCAGAGGTTGATTATTCTGCAAAAGAGGAAAACATCAATGCATTAACAACAGCAATAGACAATATCACACTTGATGAAACTAGACATATATTTATCAAAGAGAATACAGATCTGAAACCTTCCTTGTATACAGTTGCTTACAATGTTCTTCAGTTAGATGATGAATTTATAGTTACACATTATGCACTCCATACTTTCAGAGGACATTCATACTTCTATGTTGATATTCATATTAAAGGGAGAGATAAACAGCCAACTCTTATTAGGACACCAGCTGACAGTTCTATTGGAAAAGCAATTTCTCAACAGTTAGGAGAATCAAAGCAACAAATATATCT